ACCGCGCGCCCCCCCCCCCACGGGTCCCCCCGGCCCGAGACGGCACAGCCCCCGACGATGCCCACCCGCTCACAGCCTGGGCGGGGGCCTGGGAGGCCAAGGAGGGGCCGTGAGGGATGGGCGAAGGGCGAGCTCAGCCAGTGAGTGGTCCCCGGGGGAGACGGGAACAGGAGGGACCCTGGGGCAGCGAGGGGTCTGTGGGGCCAGGACTCACCGGGGATCTTGGGCACAGACGCCCCCAGCCCGGGGAGGGTCAGGAGCAGTAACCACAGCATCTGTGGGGCGGGGTGGGGCCCGGGTCAGCCACCTGGGACCCGAACTCCAGGTCTGCGATTGGAGGGGGGGTGAGCGGGTGTCCTCACTGTCCAGGTCTGCGATTGGAGGGGGGGTGAGCGGGTGTCCTCACTGTCCAGGTCTGCGATTGTGTGTGTAGGTGTCCTCACTGTCCAGGTCCTTCTGCCCTCAACCGCTGCCCTCCCTCAGGGCCCTTTCTCTGGATGAAGGAAGCGGGCAAGGAGGGGCAAGCGGGGGAGGGCAGCCGCATGGGGACTGTCCAGGGCTGCAGGAAGGGAGCTGAGCACCCACGCTGGCCCCCAGCAGACCCGCTGGGACGGACCCCTCCTTCCTGGGGCTGGCTCCTGCCCGCCCTGAGTGGGCCCCGGGGGGTTTTGGGCAGGGAAGGAGGCTGGGCACTCACTGCCCCCGGCCGCAGGTGAGCTCTTCCGCAGAGCAGAGGCCGGGCAGTTGGGGTCCCAAGAAACACAGGCCCTGTGTGCATGTGTGCCCGGAATCCTGGAGGAGGGGGTGGAGGTGAAGGGGCAGTGGTGTGTCCACCCCCATTGGACTGTTTCTCTCTGCCTCTGTCTTTGTCTCTCTTCAGTGAGCACATGTGCTCCCTGCCATGAAGTGAGAGTGTGGCGAGGGGTGGCATGCTCAGCCCCCAGGTGGCAGCTGTGCCCCTCAGCGGCCGGTCTGCCTGGCTCTGCCCCGGCCAGCCCGGAGTGTGGTGTGGAGACCCAGACGCGGACGTGGACACAGACTCTGGGCACCTCCCATCGTAGGAAGGGGAGTCCCAGCCACCGTGCCAGGCCACCAGAGGATCCCCACACCCCGGGAGCCCAGAACCCACTTGGGGAAGACAGTCCAGGAGTTCTGCCAGCGCTGGGCCCCAGAACGAACATGCGGGCAGGCTCCCCACAGACCCTCCCTCGAAGCCCGACGCCCCCACCTGGGAGGGGCCCATATGCGGGCTCAGCCCCAGCCTCCCTTTGCCCCTGGCAGCCGCTCTGTGTTATCATGCAGTTCTGACCCCAACAGCCCAACAGCGATGGCCCCACAGCGCCAGCCATCCCTAGCGCGTGTGACTGTTCAGATCCGAGCTCCCTTCCCCTCCTGGGAAGCCCAGCCCCACCTCCCATGCTCATCCTTAATTCTGAGGATGCAAACATCCCGAGGGTGCCCCTCCAAAGGCACAGGGATATCCAGGCCCGTGGGCCGTGTGGTAAGAAGAGACCCACAGGCTGTGGACAGCCACCCGCAGGAGGGTCATGCCAGCAGGACACACATGAACACTCGCAAACACACAGACACTCGCGGATACACACAGAGCCACTCTCCTGTGCCACGTGGACCCCGGGACCCCTCCACAGCGACGTCCTTCCACTGAGCCTCCACTGAGCCTCGGGCCTCCCTGTGGAGGCTGCCCCACAGCAAGGCGCCTGCAGTTTCTGGTGCTCTCCGGAGGAGCTGCAGCACAGGAGCCCCCAGACTTCCACCAACAGCTCCCCAGCGACCCTGAAGGCCAGGTGCGGAGGGCTCACAGCCAGCCTCTCACCTCCCTACAGCCCCAGAACTGGGGCTCAAGTGTGAGGGGGACAGGAGGCCCCTCTGCAGTCACCCAGCCCCAGGCTGTGCAGGAGTCTGTGTGGCCTCAGCCCACCCACTGCAGGGGCAGGAGGGGTCCCCAGGGTGTGAGGGAAGACGTAGCCTGGTCGCCCTCTAGGAGGGGGTGCCTACAGGGAGAACTGCCTCTGGTCCCACCACCAGGATCCAGGCAGGGAAGAGGGGCACCCGCCCGGCCCCCGCCTGGCCCCCGCCGGGCCTCCATGTATGAAGCTGCAACAGGGGCCAAGAGGCTGGGGTGGGGTCAGCGGCCTTCCCACCCCTGCAAGGGAGCACCACCTCCTGCAAGATAGGAGGCGGGGCGGGCTCTGCTGGGCTGGCAGGGAGGTGAGGGCAGACTGCCCCAGTCTTGCCTTGCCACAGCGCCGGCCGCAGCCCAGTGCCCACCTCGTGAAGATCTGCCCAAGGTCCTGCCCCGACATCTGGCGGGGGCCTGGGGGCAGGAGGACTGAGGGAAGGCGGGAGTCCTGGGGCTGAGCCTCCGCCAAGAGCAGCCCTCTGAGGCCGGCCCCTGTCCTCTGCACCGCCCACTTTCCCAGCGGGGGGTGGGGGTGGAGGGGTGGGGGTGTCCCGGAGCCCCGCCCACTGCCCCTCGGTCACGCCCACAGGTAAGTGCGCTCCAGACAGCCTTTCTCCATGAGTTTTAATGAGACTCAGAAGGGCAGGGCAGCTGGGAGACGGCTCCTCCCAGCCTGGCCCCCGGTGGGGCTCACGCGGCAAAAAAAAACCGGCCAGGCGTCAGGGAAGAGACCGCACTTGGAGGGAGGAGGCCGACAGAGATCTCAGAGCAGGGGTGAAGGACAAGGTCTGGCTGAGGGGAGGAACAGGGGGAGCCTGCAGCCTTGAAGCCTGCCCTCTGCTTGGCCGCAGCAGCCTGCCCCTACCAGGGCCTCGGCGAGCCAATATGGTGGTAGATCCAAGACAAGTAGGTGGTCACGCGGGTATAGACGCCAGGGTAGTCGGGGCTGCCGCAGCCATGGCCCCAGCTCACCACCCCAATCTGGATCCAGGCGCCCTGCCAGTTACAGACTAGGGGGCCCCCAGAGTCGCCCTGTGGAGGAAAGAGACAGGGATCAGGGCTCGAGTGCCGCCTCGGCCACACCCAGGCTCCGAGCTCTCACCTGGCAGGCGTCGCGGCCCGAGCTGCCAGCACACAGCATGTCATCCTTGATGTACCGGCCGACCCTCAAGTACTGCTGCCTGCAGACCTGGTTCCCCACAACGGGCACCTCCACTTCCTGCAGGTGGTAGGGCGGGCCCAGGGCCTCTGCAGGGGAAGCCCAGTGAGCCCACCAGCCAGGTGGACTCAGGCAGCCAGCCTGGCCCTGCCCCTCGCCCTCCCCCACAAAGCACAGAGCTGAGGCTGCAGCTGGAGCCGCAGGTGCAGGTCGGGGTCCTCGACCCCCAGAATGCCGCCGTGTCCCCTGCAGGTACCCTGGGGCTAGCAAGACCCCGACCCTCCAGGGGTTTTCTAGGTCAGAGGGCTGACCGCGTGGGCACCAGGCCCCAGGGAGAGCTTGAGGGATGGGTTTTGTACGTTTACTGGGAAAAGCCGGAGCAAGGGCTCGTGCTTAGACATGCAGGAAGGCCTGGCATCGGGTCTCTCTCCACCGCTCAGAGGGAGACCCCAGCAAGCCACTGGGGCTCTCGGCCTCCCTGCTGCCCTCGGGACTGTGCAGGAATGGCCAGAGCCCAGCCACAGCAAGTGGAGGGTCATCGGGCCGGCCACCCTCCCTCTGCTCTGGCCTCTGCTCCTCAGTGAGGCTGCCTCAAGCTGCCATCACCACCCCAGCCAAGGGAGACCCCAGGAGGGGCCTTGCCCGACGCCTTGTCTGTAGAGCTTTGCCACGTCATCCCCCCAGCCCTTGGGGTGTCCTCTTCCCACCTCGTCACCTCAGCCCTCACCGTTGGCATGAATAGCACCCCAGCCGGTCACCCAGCACCCTGTGCCCGCGGGCACCGTGAGCCGGGCTGGCGGGAGGGTGACCAGGTTGACCTGGGCGGAGGGTGTCACGGGGACCTCGAGTTTGAAGAGTGCCACGTCACTCCCACCGTACACTTTCTTCAAGGGGTCGTACTTCGGGTGGAGGAAGATGGCAGCCACCTTCTGCCTGGCGTTGGAGCTCCACAGCCTCACCTGTCCTGCTTGGACCTGAAAGTCCTGGGGCCTTGAGTGTTTCCTGGGGTAGAAAACACCGGAAGCTTCTCAGAGGCTGGTGCACGACGGCAGGGAGTGGGGCCGCCTCTCAGCAGCCAGGGGCACCTCTCTGGCAGGGAAGAGAACTCCAGGAGGTCACTCACGCCCAGCACTGACTGCAGCGCCGCAAGCCCAGGAAGCTGCCCTCGACCCATGCCCCACAGCAGCCACGGCATGGCACTCACGCTGGGATGCAGTGGGCAGCGCTCAGCACCCACTGGCGGTGAATGAGGGAGCCCCCACACTGGAACTCCCACTTGCCGTACGTCGAGTTGAAGATCCACAGGCTGACCTGCCATGGCCACTTCCCGGCGGGGGCATCATGCCCTCCCACGATGCCCACCAGCTCAGCCTCTGGGTCAGGGTCTGAGAACAGAGTGAGAGTCTTCAGGGACCAGGCCTGCCTGCCTAGGGCCCTCCCCAGGGCCCAGGGTCACCCTCCCACCCAGGGCTGGTCCCTGAGAGGTCAGGGTCAGAGGTTCAGGGATGGAGCAGGCCTGGGTGTCAGGACTCACCAGGGGTCAAGGGCTGGGAGCCCCCCAGGCTGGGGAGGGCCAGGAACAGCAGCCACAGCATCTGTGGGGCAAGGGGAAAGCCTGGGTGAGGTGACCAGGGGCCAGGACCCTGGGGCCGGGGAGCGTGGAGGGCACGAGGGGTGAGACCGACAGTACCCTCCCCGTCCAGTCTCTGCCCTCTGCTCCCGGGGCCCTCAGAGCCCTTTATCCTCCCGGCCAGAATGGGTCAGCCCTCCGGGGGTGGGGCCTCCCGTGCCATGGGACCAAGGGTGACCACCATGGTCTGCCAGACAGGAACGCTGTGCCTTCCGTGAGCACAGCTGAGAAGCTGGGGCGGGAGGCAGGGGCAGCAGGGCAGGCGCTGCACATGGGGGAATTGAGTCGGGGCTACAGAGGGAAGGGCAGGGAAGGGCAGGGTGGAACGGGGAGGCCGCCCTTGCGGGGAGTGAGCTGTCTGTCTGACTCCCCTTCCCCTTTAAGGCACACATGGTCCTTGGCAAAAGCGCAGGCCTGGAGCCCAGCTGGCAGGTGTAACCAGGCCCTCCTCATGGTGGGAAACATCCCTTCTCCCCTCCCTCCTGGGATTATTTCCGAGGCTAGAAAAGGCACCCAGTAAGCAGGTGGTGGGTCTCCAAGAGCCCACCCCTCCCCTGCCCTGCAGGACAGCAGCCCTGTGGTTGAGACTTCAACTTTCAACGCCTCATTTGAAAACTCAGAGCTGGGGGCCTAGGCAGATGGGACTGGCGGGGCGCCAAGGCAGAGGGTTCGGGCTACACCCCGCCAAGCCACGGACAGGGCAGCATCGGACCAGGCGCTGCCCGCTGAGTGTGATACCTGGGATCAGCACCTCCCAAACGTGGTTTTGGGGTTTTTTGGGGGTTCTTTGTTTGTTTGGTTGGTTGGTTTTTGGGGGGGGGTTGTGACATAGTTTTCTCTTTCTTTTTTCAAAATAATTGTTTTATTTAGGGACCAGCAGTTGGCATAATGGCTATGTCACTAGACTCCCATGTGGTCGACCATAGTTTGAGTCCCAGACTCAGTGGCTTAAATGCACACCAGGAGCGTGTACATGCGTGCCCAAGATCCCGAGAGGAGAATGGAGGAGAAGGGATTGCGGTGTGGCCATCCCCCAGGGAGGTGATTTCTCGCTTTCTGTCTCTGTCTTTCTGGTGAGTTCACATGCCCTATAGCAAAAACCTCTCCAAAAAATATAATTATTATTATTTTCTTTAACTTTATTTTTTGTTTGTTTATTTTAATTTGACCAGAGAGGAGAGAGAGTGAGAAAGCAAGCCACCAAATCTGGGACTCAAACCGAAGTTGGCCATGTGGGAATCCATTGCCCCCAACCACCGCTCACTGGCCCCCTCAAACATTTTTAAAATTAATGCCAGAGTATGTGTACTCACCAGAGAGGAGAGAGACCGAGAGAAAGCACCCTCCCCATGGGGCATGGCCACCCCACTACCCGTCCTCCACTTCCCCGTCCTGTCGGGGTGGGGCACGCAAGCACACGTGCACACAGCGTTTTCCCAGCTGCAGGGGCCAGGATTCGAGTCTCAGTCAGCCGAGCGGCTCCGGCCCACAGTGCTCTCGGCTACACCAGGGCCGGCCCAAGAGCTGCGCCTCCCGAGCACACGCCCGAGGACCGCACCAACTGCTCTGGGCTGTCAGGGCCGACCTCCCACCACTCCCTCGGGGAAGCCATCACCTGTAGATTTGGCGGTCTTCAGGGTTCAGGGACCAGGCGCTCAGGAGAGCCCCTCACAGGGGACACTTCATCTGAAGACAGTGAGAGGGACACGGCCTTCCCTGGTGCCCATGCGGCAGAAGCAGGGCCAGCCCTCATCACGCCCAGCCCGGCCCATCTCTCCACACGTCCGCACTGCTAGGTCCTGGTCTGGGAGTTATGCTCTGGCCCCACGTGTGAGCACGGGGCGAGCTAGCCCTGGGGACATTTTCCTCTCGGCGGCTCACCTGGGGGCCTGGGCTCTCCACTGAGGGGTAAGTCCAGCTCTGGCAGAGTCCCCAGGGTAGCTTCGGAGAGTCACAGCCAGGAGACAAGCAAACAGAGGCCCCGGCCTGGGCCCTGCTGCCACCAAGCCAGCTTAGTCCTTCTGGGGCACCCCCAACAAGATGCGGGCTAGACTCCCGCCAGGAACAGGGATCCTCTGCCTGTACCCCGAGAGCCCACAGCTAGGGAGCCCAGCTGGTGGGGTGCATGTCTGTGTTTAAAGGGCTCTCAGCACGTGTTTGGGTGCAGGTGGGGAAGACACCCTGGCACCCGCCTGGTATGGACTCACCCTGCTGCACTGCCAGGTGTGCGCATTCGTACGGGCCGACCTGTGTTCCCGGAGGCCCAGCCCAGTAGCTGTGAGCGGGACCTTTTCTGGGAACAGGGTCTTCGCAGGTGCAGCCAAGTCCAAGCGAGGTGAGACCCGGGTGGTCTGGGCCCTGAAGGAGTATGGTTGAAGTCTGTGTGAGAAGAGGAAAAATGAGATGTGCAGAGAAGCCATGGCTGGAGGCAGAGGTGTGGACGCCCAGGCGGCCAGCATACTGGGGGCTGGAGGGGCAGGATCCCGGCACCTGGGAAGGGAGCTGGCCTGCTCATACCTTCTGTTCAGACTTCAGACGGGGTGGGGGGGGGGGGGTCATGCAGGGGCGTTGGGG